TTATAACGTCAAATACCGTATGAGAGATTATTCTCACTTGAAATGAAATATTGAGACAGGAGAATACCAGTTAAATTGCCATGTTCCTGAACACTGGGAAAATTTCACTGTCTTATAGAATGACTGCCACCAAGAAACAAGTTTTATTTCCTTTTTTTTTTGTGTTTCAAGACTCATCAACAAATTGTTACATTGACCTTTGACCTGAAGCATATTTGTATTCCTGATGGTGATGTAAGGTAAACTGAATGAACACAGGTATAAACTATTCATTCAATATGAACCATGCATTGATTTATTGGCAGTGTCTGCGACACCTTCAAATGGAAAACGAGATTGCTATTCTATGAAACTGCAAACATCTATGTTATAATGAAATAATAACTTTAGAGACAAAATATCGTAACCACAGAAAAGACGATTGACGAGTCTGCAAATATGAACTGCCAAGACTAGTGTTATGACACCAGCAACTATAAGAGAACACAGTTGTTTACGTTTCTCGTATCCATGTGTAATAGTGTACAGCAGCTGATTGATAATAACCGGTCATACAAAGTAAAATAATAAGCACAGGCGTTACTGGCCGCTGTTGTTATTAAATATATATGTACGTCTCCTGTTAATATAAAAATATGGGCAACATTCTCACCATAAATTGAAAGTTATCGTACTCGGGATTGATACACGATGTTAGACGTGCACATACTGTTGGCAATAAAGTAACCCAATCAAGTCACGATTTTGCAGACAACTATATACTGCCATGTTTATCATATGTTACACAGTATCTGTCGACACGACCTTATTCCTATGTGTAAAGCTACATCTGGTTTTGTTTCTGTGCATCCACGTGTGATAATGCTGGACTCAGGAAGGCGAGATGACCTTTCGGGCAGCGATTAGCATAGTGACCTTTCTCCCCACACTGAAAAAACAAATTGAATAGAACAGAATTACTATAATGTACAAGACACAGCAATGTAAAAGTAGCTGATATTTTGGGGTATGTGTGCTGTACAGTACCGGTAAGTGAATAATAGAAGGTTTATAAATCACAGCAATGGTTATAAATTTAATCGACATAACACCAAGTCAAAATAATTTGTCATAATATTTTATAATGTACAGATTATGCATATACAAACAGAAAGGTTAGCTTGGCTACCAATTTAAAAATATTAAGTATTGGGTATTCCATCTTTTGTTGGTTTGTTATTTGTGAACACAAATAAATAAATCGTAAAATTTGTGTGAACAAACTGGTATATCAATTTAAGATGAACAAGTCATTGTTAATGACATAGTCCCAGTTGGAAGTAGGGGAAATGTTATTCATGGCAAAAAAAAAGTAATATGGACCAAAACCATTGCTAGTTTTTGAGAGTGAATAATTGGTTGGTCTAGTATCAACAGAAATTAGATGTAATAAATGACTTCCAAAATCGAAATATATATGGTCAGAAATTAAACAAGATATGCTATTCATGCATTTTTTGTATCCAAACTGAATTACATTTATCCAGGCTAATCTAATGAGATATAGTAGTATGGACAAAAAGCAAGATTTCAGGCAGTCAACCATCTTTAATCTGATTGTGAAACTAATTGTCATGGACATGTATCCTAACATGTATAATTTGAAAATAAAATAAAGCATGTCAGCGATACATTTTGATAAAAATCAAGATGGCTGCCACTTGGTCATTTTGGATTCAAACATGAAATGAATCATCATAGACATGTATCTCGACATGTACATGTATACTAGTAATCAAATTTGAATGAAAACCAACAAATATATCATAGACATGTATGCTAACATGTATAATGTATGTACCAAATTTTAACAAAAACCAACAAAGCATGCATAAGATATCACATTTGAATTTAGAGACTAAATTTCGTTTGAATGGCGACTAAAAATATGAATTATAAATTACTAGTAGTTGGCTGACTTATTTTGGAAAATAGTCGCTGTGAGGAAAGCCTTTTTATCTGTGTGCCTTGGTCTGCTGTACTAATTTTGAATACATATTACACAATAAAAAAAAAAGAGATAACGCTAGACAATGAAAACATTGACTTTTTCATTTACACAACTGTATAGCTCCACAACACAATACTCACCTTAAAGCATGTAACACTTTCCAGAGGCCTAGGGGGTCCTTTAGGTATCTGTGGACGTTCTGTCAAGTCACTCATACCCATCACTTGAATATGCTACAGTGATGTTAAAAATAAATAAATGATTGAAATCATCATTTTAATCACAGCCAAAATGATAAACACATGCACCATTATTTAGGGTCCTGTCTGTACACCAACACCACAGTGCATACAGCCAGATGAAGCCCTATCCAGATCAAAGCACCATGGAACCACGGCTATACCAAACGTAGCATGATATTTCACTATAAAACCGAATCATGGCTTATAATTTCATAAATACTGACCTAAATGCGTATTTCAGTAACACTTGCATTTGTTAATGTCTTTCGCAAAACAATTACATGTATATCCCACTATGTATAATGTATGTGTAAGGTTTAAACACGATTTGTCTCGGCATGCCTGATCCTTTTAAATGTGATCAGCAAAAATATGTGCATCAAGATCTCATAACATCCAATAAATAAGTATTAATGAAATTCCGGTTTTGGAAAAACAGAAATTTTAATGAATTTTTTGCACAGAAATGGCAGAGATAAATTTGTGAACAGACGCACAGATGCATGGACACAAAGAAGTCCCTGGAGGGGAAAATGTTGGCATTCAAAAGGTAGAATGTTTACCTGTTCAGTAGCAGTGACTGGAAACTTGGGACACATGGCCGCTTTGTGTCCGGGTTCCCCACAGCTGTGACAGGTAATACTGGCTTTCTTTTGTGCAGACACGGGGTCATTTACCACTGGTAAATCAAATTTAGGACTGAAAAAAAAAAGTATATGACACAATAAAGTTTTGTGGAATACAAAATTGAAAGCTTTGTTTTTGTTAGAGATACTTTGTATAACAGTAAAAAAAAACAGTAGACCCTGAAATAAAGTTTACAAGTTCTGCCTAAAATCAAGCATTAAAGTCATGCAAGCATCTTATATATACTGTAGAATACTTTATTTTCGCTGATTGGATGATTCCGTGAAAATAAAATCCAGCGAATATACTTTTTTTCCTATATTTCACATTAAACTCATGAAAAATCAGTGAAAATAAATTCCAAGCAAAAAGCCTTTTCAGCGAAAATTAATTCCAGCGAAAATAAAGTATTGCACAGTATATTCCATTTCTACACACACACACACACTGATTAAAACTTAGACCTTAGAAAACTAAGGTCTGAAGTCTATGGGTAAAGCAAGACAGAATATAATTTGTTTGGTATTCAAACTTCCATACTGTATTTGCTCTATTAGTAGCGCATGCATTTATGTAAATGACAGAGGTGTGTCTATAGACAAAATAAGTCATATTTAAATGATCCAGTTTACAATAAGTGAAAAATAGCATTTATTGTATGCTGGTTCATTAAAATATGACTTAATGTGACCATGGAGGTGAAAGAAAGAAGTTGTGACAACTGGTTTAAGCCTATTCAATTTCATTTGTTTTTAGTCAAGTTAAATCTCTTATCTTGTCTGTTTAAACGTCCATGAACATTTCCGACGCTAGTGTTCATGGGTCTTTTTAATTTTACTTGCATGATGCATCTAGAAAGAATGCCATTGTTCTGACAAGTTTATTCATGTTTGAATTTTTAAAATCAGCCGATCTATCAGTAAGTTATGTTGTTTTTTATGTTGCATTTTCTATACTGTAAAATGACTAATTTTCACTGGGTTTAAATTTCACTGATTTACCATTTCGGGCATATTCAGTGGGTTTTAAATTCACGGTTTCGTCATTTAGATAATGTGTTCTATGCTAAATTTTACATATTCACTGTGTTTTAATTTAGCGCATTTTTCCAGTCAGCGAAATAAGCTAAATTAAAACCCAGTGAATAATTACCCCCTTTACAGTAGTTTATTTCAACTGCTGTTTTCGCAGGGAAATTGAAACGTTTTCAAAGGTTTTTTTGCATGATGGTATTGCATGACTTCCGGGTTTATCTTTCCCTATTATCCAGGCATCGCGATTTTGGGACAAAATATATCCTCTTCAATCATGACTTCTTCAATCAATTTTGTCTTTGCGAACGCGTACACAACTTCCATGATGTGACCATAGACACATTTACTACTGCATGCTCTACTAATATATAAAATATGGTACATTTATCTCTGGGGAAAACAGTCTTGTGAAACTTGTGAAAACCTACAGATCATGTGCAATAAAAAATAGATAATAAACATAGTTGAACTCTGGTGACCTTGCCCTTTGTTATATAATAAATATAATTCCCTTTATCATAGTTTGTTTCAATATAAATATGCATTGTCATAATTAATTTTGAATACAAACAAGTTTTGGGGTTGAACCAACAGTGGGGAATCAGTCTACCGAATGTCCTTAAAAGATGTAAATATCTTACAAAAACATTGGTGCCTTATTTGTTTAATTATTTTAAGGAACATAATTTCCAGCTTTATTGAAAGTAATTGAGATATTTAGAATAAAAACAAATGTCTCATTGCAAAAAAAGTGCTGCATTTAGATGTTAATAGATTTATAAAACATGCAAGATAACAGAAAAATTTAGCTGGCTTTAGTTCAAGTATTTTGTACAGGTGTCTGTCAAAAATGAATGATTCACTGAGACAAATATGAACTGCCTCATTGTGTGACTACTGTATTATATGAAAAGTAAAAAAAACACCCTTTATGAATAGCTATCATGTTGCAAGCTCTGCTTTGTATGCAAATCAACTTAAATAGTTGGTGTCCAGTGGAGGGAGAAGTCACAGTACTGTTGCCTCCTTGAGAAACTACATCTTCAACACTGCA